TTTTTACTCGGAAAACATACTTTAAATTCAATCGAAAATAACAACTAATTGAAAATGTTTAGGAAATACAAATGAAATTATTATCACAATTAATCGGTTGTTTATATAAAGGACACGAATTGGGCGGTCAGTCAGTCAACACTTTTTATTGTCAAATCTGAAAATTAAACAATGCTTTAGAAATTTTGAGTTTAACTTTATTATTGACAATCAATTAACTAAAGTAATTAAATAATGCTTTTGTGAAAAAATTCATTTCGTATTCAGCGAACCGTATATTGAAATAAGTCTAACAAAGAATATATTAGTTTTAAAAAAAATCTTAATGTTTAGTCTCCATTGGGTTTGTCTGTTATTTACTACTTTACACACAATATAAGACGTGGAATATAATAGACGACCAAATTGTAATTGTTTAATAATATTGTGTAAGTATTGGTTATTTTGTTGCTATTTATTTAATAACGAAATTATAATTAATGATATATCAGTGAATAAAAGTACAACAAAAAGGTGATTTGAAAACCTTATTTCAGTAAAACTGTGCAAAATTTAAGGCAAATATTAATTTAAAGTGTTTTTGCGGATAAATCAAACGGCGAAATACAAACGGAGTATAATTTTTATGATAATTATTTGTTTTATATAAACTTCAAGACGATTACTTTTTGAAACAAATAATAAATTTTCGTTTTAATCTCCGCTTCTCTCAGTTTGTTATCGACTCATTCACTAAATTATGATAACATCACTAAAAACAGGTTAACTTTTTTAATATTATTTCTCAAATACTTATTTAAAAATTTAATTTATGATATCTTATATAAGTTTACATTTCACTTCGTTTCCCAACTATTCTTCTATACGTTTCCCAAAATGAGATCTCATTTTTATAAAATACATCTCTTCTCCTCTCCTCTGCGGTAAACATTGAATTTGTGTCAAATCATTAAATTTATTTAAATTGCAATTCATTCACTAAAAAACTAAAATTAAAGTTTTCATAAAAGTTTGCACTTTTTCTTCATTTTTCTTTTATAACTAACCCAAACATTTGCATTACATAGAGATTACCGCTCTATCCATACTATAAAATATCCATAATATAAATACTTTTTTATTGATTTATACAAATCAATCAAATTTTGGTGCTTTTAAAGTCTTATATAATGAGAAACTTGTGTTTTCATTAAAAGAATTTACAAATTAGGCTAAACTGGAGGTGTTGTTAAAGGCATTGTACTCTCAATCGCTTTTCACTATTATTTGCCCACAAATGATCACTTTTTCATTATAATAATTATTGCATTTTAAGCAATAATAAGCCAAATATGATGAGAACTTATGTTTTTTTTTATTGTACTCCTACCAGTACTGGGTTTAATTTTAGTTATAATTTTACCATAGTTGAACATAAATATACAAACGTACAGTATAGTTTTAACACTACTGTAAGTATTAATTAGTGTCTTATTTAAGTAACTTAAATGATATCAAAATAAAATTAACCCTTGCAAACATTATAAACCTTGGTGAAATACAAGGATATTTAGTACAGTATATCTTTAATCAGTAGTGTATTATCACAAGTAATCTAAAAATTCAATCTTTATGTTCTCCATCACTTCGCATACATTTTAATTACAAGATTATACATTTTTTACAAACTAAATAACACATCATTTTGTATTAACTATATTATAATTTGTCAATAGGTTTGTGACCCCAAAATTCACTGATCAGTGATCACTCAATATTGTATTTAAAATTTTATTACAAAATCAAATCGATTACATTATTTGACGTATGGCTTACTTAAGACCGAGCCTTAAATATTTAAATATTATATAATAATTTATTTTGTAAATATTTCTTTTTATATATAATTTAATTGTGCTTTTATATAAATCTTTGAATATAATTATCACATGATTTTATTTATAGATAACTTTCTGAAAACTAAATATTCAAATACGATATTGTTTATAGAGTTCATAACTTATGATTATATTTAAAACTAGACTAATCTATCACTTATATCACAGTTACGGCTTATTTCACTATTAAGATATTTTATGAACCATTTGACAGTATATTTATGAACATTAATCTATATATTTTGCATTATTTATTCAATTTAATAGTGGTTTCTTAAATCGGTGTTTGAATGCAATAATATACCCCATAAATTCACTTTACACCATTTGTGATATACCATGGTGATTATTGTACAGTATCTGATTCAGTCAAAAGCCTTGATTTACAGGAAATCGACAAAATCTAAAGATTGAGAAACTTTCTCATTGATCGATAAAAAGCAGACTTCAATGTTAGACAAAACACTGGAATAAAACTTTCGAAAGAGTTAGATATGTAATCGATTAATACATTGACTTCTGAAAAAAATCACTTACGATACGATTAGATCATAAAATTCATTGACTATTAAAATACGACAATAAATGCTAATAAAAGTTACTGTTAATGCAATAATAAATGAATTGTAAAATTGAAATCCTCAACGAAATTATAGGGCATTACATGTTAAATAAGTTACATATTGTAGACATATGTTAATACGAAGATGTATTACAAGTGTTGTGTAGATATCAATGATCTCAATAGTAATGTGGATCATTGAATGCGGTTAAATAGGATCATATATACAGTACATAGTTACACATAGTTAAGTGAGTGCCTGGATGTCATTTATTTGACTTAACACTCGTTTACTGTTAGTTATGCTAACTTTTCTAACGTAATCACATTCACTGATCATATAGTCTGTTAGATAAGGGCGTCGACTATCATATAATCAATCTCTCTGTGAGGGACACTATCTATGGATTATGGCATTGATATTAATGTTTCAATTAATAGTACAATAGTATTACAATTAACAGTAGTATTCAATACAAAGCATACAATAGTTTTTTCAATGAGTTTTTTAGTGGCGAGGAATGCAATGCTTAGAACCTAAGCCTTAGAGACTCATAGGAAACCCATTTTGTGTGTAAATGCAGTGAATGTTACGTAATGTGTGTTTCGGTTGTCAAGTGTTGGGTTGAGGGGCAGTGAGAGGGCAGGGGTTGGGCTCACTATAGGCAGTGTTGCGCTCAATGAGTGGCATGTGTTGAACCCCCGCCCGAACCCACCCTTTGCTCGCAATGTTGTGTGAATTGGAGTTGTTTTTCAATACAACGAGAAATCTATTTATTTATTATTATTTTTAAATCACTTTTAAATCAAATATTTATTTATTTATTCAATATTTTGGACTTTTTATCGCGAAATGCGTTCAAAACATTGATTTCATATCACATCTCAAACGACGAGATAAACCACTCATGAGTTTTATGTCTGTCTCTCCACAGTCTGTACGCGAAGCCATTAATTGTCCACTGGATTCAAGTCTCTGAGTCGGCGGCTATTTTGGACACAAGAATCGCATTATTGGATCAGATATTAGCGATCAACTCATCAATCAATGGACGCGATTGACGGACCAAATGGGGTGCCAATGGATACACTGCCCGCGCGGTCCGTCTCAGACCACACACTCGTCAGCCATAGTCTCGGCCACAGAGAGGACAGAGAGTCGGGCCGTGCGGTGAACGGGCGGTGCGGTAGCGGAGGGGGCGGTGAAGGGGTGCGAGTGATGAATGGCCACCGCTTGCCATCATATGTGGGCATTTCGTGTGCGATATCCGGTTATTCCGATTACAACCGCTACAGCTCTTCACTGCGGAACAGTTGCACTCGACGTGACATTAGTGTCGCCCTCAAGAACTCCACTCGAGAACCGGTGAATCGTTTGAACGACTCATTGAATCGTAAAAATAGTCTAATCAGTGAAGCGTTGATAACGAGTAGACATAATGTAAGCGAAGACATTGAAAACAGTGGAACCGATCGATCGACAGATTTGACAAACAATGATATCAGCAGTGATTTGAATGACAAGAACTCACTGTTAGAGCAAAGGATCGCCAGTTTGTATGGAAACACATTCGCCAAAGACTGGAGGGAATCGCGGACTCGAAGCAGACATAAGTTTGACACTCCTTTCTCTTTAGCCAAACAAAGAAGCCCTTCGTGTCCTCCCATTCGTAAAAGTACCACAAATAAGACCCCAACCCCTCTCCCAATGCCTGTCCCAACCCCTCCATCAATACACAAATCCAGTGAACACACGAATCCTGTGAACAATCAAATTGATCACCGAATCCATACTCATTCAAGTAATTGATATACACTTATAATTATAACTCATTTTTAATTTCCCTCAAAATTTGTAATCAATAGAAACCCCAAAAGAGTTACCAAATTGTGAGATACAAACTAAAGAACCGGTCAAACAATTAGAACCACAAAATTACCGCTCGATTGAAGATAATTCTCAAACTGCAGCTAAAGTTACAAATAATGTGTCGGAAACACAATCAGCGAAACCAATTGAGTCGTCTGATAGCCTTTCTGAACATGAGATACAAAGCCCGCAAACGACACCGTCGTGTCAAAGAGACGGCAATTGGTTTTTGAGTGAATTAAACAAAACCACTCAACAAATACAGCAAAACATAGATCTGACAGAAAATTTGCTCAAAACCGATGACAGTCTAATGGGCGAAGAGTTTTGCGGCAAATTGAGAGCAGCGATCGGAAAGGCTAACCTACTTATCAATAAAAAGTTTCAACAATTCCACGAATTATGTCTCAAAAATATTGTATGTTTTCTCCGCTAAATGTCGTCAAACATATCCATTAATTGAGTCCTTATTTAGAGTCAAAGCAATTGCGAACAATTCGTTACGACAAACGATGATTTGCAAGGATTTTGGGATATGATGTCCATTCAAGTGATCGACATTAACGATACTTTCGCCCAAATCTATACACTTCACGCCAGCGGTTGGAACAAAGACTTCGATGTTGTACTTCCAAAAAAGATGGTATATTTGACGAGAAATACATTAATTACGATAATTGTAGTAATATTTGGTATGAATTGATCCGTTTGTATAGACATCGACGCCAACAAAGACCGTTAAATCGCGAAAGTCGACCCCAAAGGGATCGCCCGTCAAAGCCTGTGATGAAACCAATACAGACCGAGAGTCAGAACGTCGTAATCGTCTGAAGGAAGCGAAACGAAAGGCACGGCTAAAGGCCTCCGCAGCTGATGAAGAGATCACAATATTTATTCCCTCAAAAAACATTCAATAATTAACTCATTCTTTGATTTATATATTTTTCATTTTAATTTAAAACTTACTTATAATATAAGTATTAAATTATTTATTTATTATTTGGATATTTTTAGGTATTTTGCGGACACTTTGAAACAATAAAACAAAACATTGCTTTCAAACCAAATCAAATTGAGACCAATTTTTTCAATTAATTTTCCTTTATTTTTATCCAAAAAACTTAATTTGAGTTCAAATACAGAAAATCGTGTTTTAATGCAATCATTCATTGGATAGAACTGGCGTTGGAAGCGATTCTTGGCCAGAGATCAGCGCATTCCTTAGCGACGGGTCCAGTGATGGCCGAGCCCTTCATCTCTCCTTTGTTGTTGACAATGACTCCGGCGTTGTCTTCAAAGTAGATGAACACTCCGTCCTTCCTTCTGAATGGCTTCCTCTGTCTGATGACAACTGCGGGCATCACTTTCTTGCGGAGCTCTGGTTTACCCTTCTTAACGGTGGCCACAAACATGTCTCCACAGCCGGCGGCCGGCAGTCGATTCAGACGACCCTTAATGCCATTCACGGCGATTACGTACAGATTCTTTCCGCCCGTATTGTCGGCACAATTCATAACAGCGCCGACCGGAAGGGCCAGCGATATGCGAAATTTCGCTCCAGCAGTACCTCCGCGTCCTATCAATCAATACATCCAATCATTAGTTAGTTTACCATTCATTTCAATCCAATACAAGTCCACGCGTTCACACATTCAGCCAATCAATCGTCAAATTCAACCACTCTTTCACCCGATATCACCGCAAAGCGTGTCATTTGCCATTAAATGGTGGCTTTCATTATAAAATGTGGGTAAAAGTGGTTGAATATGGGATCAGATTGAGTGATAGCATGTGTGGACACAATTACCTCTTTTAGACATGTTTAACGAGAAAAGGAAATGAACTACAATTGCAATGTGCCTTCACTTCAGTCAATACATACACCTAATGCACAACAGATGGCACTCAACACTCACGACACCAATACTTTTATCGTTCAAAACTTTTTACTAACAATTTATAAAAGTTTTTATTTGTTTAATTATTTAATAAGTTAGTTATAATGAGAGTTGTAATCATATTTAGCAATTAAACGTTTACCCAATAATATACTCGTCTATTAATAGCGTTTAATTATAGTTTTTTCACTTTTATTAAGTTAAGCTAAACTTTTGATTGTTATAACAGAAGTTATTATTTAGTTTTTAACTAAACATTTAATATAAAACAAGAATTTCATATAAAAAACAACACATTAATATCAGTAGTAATACTGCAATAAATTAGTGTTATTTTAATGAATATGCGTAAAATAAATACAAAAGTAACCTGGATCAAATTAAATAAATAAATTTAAACACTATGAGTATATGTGTGTACGTAATGAATGAGCGGTCCCTGAATTGCATTCATTGAATGGCTAGACGTGTGGATCGGGTGTAGGCTATGGTTAGGCTATGGATAGGCTTTGGTTTGGCATTCAGTGCTTTGACTCAACATTTGTTGTATTGTTTTGAATGTAAACTGATTTGGATTTTGAAAGACTTGTCCATTGAATGAATGCATTGTTTGTCACCATTAGGTCTATATTGACATCAAATGAGATCCCATTGACACTGAAGAGGACCGACAATGAGCGCCAAGAAGTGCAGCCGATGTGACAAAACTGTTTACCCCATCGAAGAAGTGAAATGCTTGGATAAGGTATACATCTCTTCGGTTGTCCACCTCTTTGATGATAATTGTGTTGATTTTGATGACAGGTTTGGCACAAACTGTGCTTCAAATGCCAAGAATGTGGTATGACTTTGAATATGAAGAACTACAAGGGCTTCAACAAACTTCCCTATTGTAATGCGTTAGTATCACTTCAGCGCTTCCAATGTCTTTCAATTTAGAGTATATTTGTTGTATGTTTAGTGTTGTCGTGATTTGAATGACAATCAATGTGTCCATTAGTTTATAAACAGTTATAAATGATGAGACAATTAGCTATTGATATGTTTGTCGCATGTATTGTGTGTCCAGAAAAGAGTACTCTTATTGTCTAACAATGATTGTTACGATAACTAATGATAATTGAATGTCATGTCCGCAGGCACTGCCCTCAGGCTCGGGCGACAGCAGTGGCCGACACACCAGAGGCGCGACGATTGGCCGAAAATACGAAACTTCAGAGTCAAGTTCGATATCACGAGGACTTCGAGAAGCAAAAGGGAAAACTGACTCAAGTGGCCGACGATCCCGAAACTCTTCGCATAAGGAGTATATCGCAAAGGATTAGTAACGTTGCATATCATGGAGAGCTCGAGAAGAAGAAACAAATGGAGCACAAGAGGACTCTTATGCCTGAAGATCAGGTGAACAACGGCTTCAGCGCTCATAAGACACAACAGATACAGCCATTCACTGCACCCACAGCTATCATAATGGGTAATACATTTGACACGAGTTTAATTAGAAATAATGTTTTAAATTATTTGAATTGATTACTAAACTAAACATATGTTTAGATGAGAACAAGAACTCGAGACAAAACATTCAAAATATTCAACACAACAACGACTCAATCAATCATAACATTAGAAACAGTGACACAAATCAATACCATCACAATATAGGCGCCCAACCAATGCATTATCACCCAAATGTCAACAAAGACGTGAACGCCTACTCATCCAAACTTCAATCCACAGTGATTTACACATCCGATGACGGACCAGGTCTTGACCACCATTTACTTGCATTCCATTCATTTGATAATTGGTTTATTAATTTTGATATATATTGTTATGAATTTAGTGAATGAGCTCTCGAAGAAAGTGGGATCTATTGTGGACTACGACCCCATCAACGATAACTATGGCTCCATTGCAAGCGGCAATCGGATCGATGCCACCGGTGCTTACTATTCAGGTCTGGTATTTGTTTTATTTCTTTTTCTCATTCAATAACATATTTATCGGTTTCTCACACTTTCCTAACAAATAAAACTAATTTTGTTTTCATTATTAGTTTACGGCTATAAATAAAATACTATGTATTTTACCAAAACCCCAATGACTTTAAATAATACTATATTAAACCGTATTAGCCATTGTGTGTAAATTTAGTTTTTCACATTCAATCTAAATATATATCTAATTTTGATTGACTTTTTAATCAATGATAAACACTTTCAGAGCATTAAAATATATGTCGACATAAAATGAAATGAAATTTTCATTTTTCTTATCTCTTTGTCGGCAAAACGTATAACAAATTGTTTATTCATTAATTTTATGACACAAATGATTGTCATTTGAAATGAATTATAAGTTAGATATGAAAATACAAGTAGAATAAAATGAATGGATATTTTTTGATGACAAATTGGTCTAGAATTTCCTAAACTTAATGTAATATTTTTATAATGAATTGAAAGTAATTATTAATTACAACTCTAATTCAGTGCTAGCATTACATTACATGTTGTATTAATCAATATTATTTTATCATAATCTTGTCGTTAAATACGATACAATTGTTTGATTTATGGAAAAGTAAATGTTTTTTGTTTGTGTTTTGAATCGCTGCTAAATATTGATAGCTTTTTATTGACGATGACTTTACTCCTCCATAGAGTCGAGTCTCTCTATATTTGTCTATCGATTGAATATATTATATAAGAATTTAGGGGTGTTTTGAGTCATAAATAAAGGTAATTAATTGCATTCATTCGCGTCATCTCTCTATGCCATTAAGTTTCGCACATTTTGAGTCAATGAATACGAATAGAAAACTATTTAAAGTAAAAGCATTTTATGCAATAATTTCAAAGAAATCCCAAATGTTTTCTTTCCTTTTTTGTGTTGTTGTGTAAGAAATGTCTCCAAAACTTGACTTTTAACTCAAATATCTATTTTATAAATTAAACTATTCGTATAGGACTTCGCATTTGTAATACAAAACTTAGGATATATTAAAAATCACAGCTTCTTAAAGGGTATGCATTGAATGCATATAAAGTTCCTTACGTTTCCCCAAACACTATATTCCCTAAACAATCGTTTAATGTGCGACTAATATGTTGGGGAGAGAGAGAGAGAGAGAGAGAGAGAGAGAGAGAG